AAGCAAGAAGTTACTGAATAAAAACTGGATAATTAAGTGATACATATAAAAGAGAAATTTATCCATTTTTCCATTAACGTTATTAGATAAATAAAAGAAATCAAGAAAAATAACTGTTTTAAGCAAAGCTGAAAGGCAACTGTTTATTTATGTCTTTGCTTCTGTTTGCGTGAACGGCAGCAAGTATTCGGTATATATATTTCAAGCAGCTGGTCACCGAGGAATTGCCATGATCGGATTTGTTTTGACAATGAAAAGTTCACCGATCTTCAAGCGGATAGATGAAGTGAATGAATGGCTTAGTAACTTTGTATCACCATTGGTTGACATTTCCGTCAAACGCATCTGTCACCGACATTCCTTTAACCTATCCAAACTTTTTTCTTTTCTCATTTCGTTGATCGTCGCCATCATCACCCTCATCCTCCTCATCTTATTCATCGTCAACAACATCGACAGCAGTAACCTTACTGTCAGCAGTAAAATTGGTATAATCTGCAGCATTGAAGATTATAGGACTCAGAAAGCTTCGAAGAATAATGCTTTGTTAAGCATTGAAATAGGAACAAGAAAATTAACATGTCCGATTTTTTTGTTGTTATTCAAATGAACAATGAATTGATACTTGTCTTTATGTAAGCGGTTCAGCAGTTTCAAAAGCAGTCATAACACAACGGCGCTTAACTATGAAATTTTGTTGTTTTTGCCCTTTATGTTTTAACTAAGGAACAAAGAAGAAAAAAACAGTGATTGTTGGATGTTGACTTCTGTCGTCACTTATACTATAAAAGAAGGCTATATAATTTTTTAGGTACGAATGACTATTATAATTTGAGTAAAATAAAAACGTAAAAAAAATGAAAAATTAATCAAGGCAAAAACGACGGCAACAATCAAAAAAATTTGGTACAAGAAATTGTTGAGTGTTTTTTCGTTAGTTACTACAATAAATCTATTCTTATACTGCAAATATCTGTTTTGCGCAGATAAATTAATTTATTAAACTAATCATATATTTCACAGCTATTAAAATGGCAGCTAAAATTGCTTATTTGGTTCAGCTGAACCATTGGCAGTAACAGTAACAATAAAAACGACACCAATATAAGGGAAAGATAAATATTTTGAGCAATTGCTCATTAAAAGCAATGATAAAATCTGTTCTTTTAAAATCCCATTTAGTAGTTTAAAAATTTATACCTAAATAATAGCGATAGCAAAAAAGATATTAAATAACACAACAGATATTTCAAACATTCCTTTTCTTCTTTTGCTCCTCAATTTTTTTTTACTGCCTTTTTTTTGTAATATTTATTTGGTAAACTTATTTCAAATTTTATTGAAGTATTGAAAAATTGAATCATTTTTTTATTTCTCCAAACATTAGTAAAGCAGCGACAAAGTCATTTTGGTTAAAAAGGCTGACTAATGATTAAAAAAGTACTGAGCTTCTTCCTCAGCGGTTCACTTTCGTAACCATTCATTTATTTTTCCTTCAGTAACACACCGACAATCTTCCTTCGGTTTGGTCACAAGATTCTATCAATGTCGTACCCAACAGATCTTCAGAGTCCAATCGAATTTCATGGTCTGTTGTTGTACGCAATACTTTTTCCGCTTTTTTAAGAAAACGAATGTGGAAAAATAATAAAAACCAAAAAAGAGTGAGAATTTTCAACAACTAAAACTAACTTTTTGTATAGATAATAACTGCTGAGAAGAATTCCGTCGTATGGTAAACATAGCAAAGAACAGTTTTTCTTCAGAATTTTGAAGGTTTACTATTGATGATTAGCATTAAAACCTTTGATAGTTTTTTTTTTTTCGCTAACACTACATATCAGTTTCCTCAACAAAAAATTAAGCATCTCATTAAAAAACTGATAAACAAGCACACCTTTAAACCTTTCTTTCTGAACAAATTATCAATTAAAAGTGCTGTAAAGATGTCACCTTTTTTTTTGGTTTTACGCACCACTATATTACAGCCAAATTATTAATTTTTAGAGAAATTAAAGTCTCATTTTTTTCCCTAAAGGTCACAAAGATAAAAATGTTTGAAATTTGATAAAGCATTCACTTTCAAAAAAAAAAAAAAAAA